CAAAATATTTTTCTACAATTGCTGGATCTTTTTATTAGTCTTCTCTTTTAGATTTTCCTCTTAAGACATAATCAAATCATACTTTGTAAAAATGACGAATCACCTCTGCTATTTTGAGGCTGTCAGCACTCAGTGAAGTGCATCCTTCAGCAATGCATTTTTTTTAAATACCCTTCCTTAATTCCCCTTACCCACTCTGTCAATGCTCAGTCCTATCATCACTTGAAGTGTGGGGGAGATTAAAAAGAGAGTCCCCGGAGATTTCTAAAATGACTAGCCAGACTGTTCCCCAAAAAAATCCCGTAAACCCTCGTCACACTTATCCATTGTCCCTCCTTCATGTGCTGAATTGGCAGAACTCTTCAGCAAATCAAGGGCAATTCAGTTCCTTCCACACAGAACACTGAATAGATGTGTTGCCCAGAAGTTCTCCACCTCAGCGCAAAGTCAATCCTCTATCCATTTGAAAGACCGCAGCCACAGAGGATTGTGGTTTAAGGATGAGGCACAAATTACCCTTGAGGGGATTATTTCCATGTGCTGGTTAGACAGATGGAGAATGTGAAAGGGAGTCTGGTGCTTTGCTGACAAAAATGAGCATTTGTGTGTGATGCTGTGCAGGGCCGTCACTTAAACGCATTTTAGCTTGACTGAAATCCAACTAGTGGATCTAATTTGCACAAATGCAGAGAATTAGTAACACTGTATATTATGGTATGTTGTGAATGATCAACATGTATTATTAACCCCTGTGAATTGTTCAAATTTACCTCTATTTCGTTAAGTTCATGGCTGTTTTTGCCCCATTGACCTCCATCATAGCAACATTTTTTTAATCGCAAAGCCTTGACACCAAATAATCATGCATTCTTGATTGTTGGTGGTTTTTCAACAAATTAATTTTGTAATTTGACCTGTTGATCATCAGTTGGTCACATTAACCCTTTACATACACCCACCGGCCACTTTATTAGGTACACCTTACCAACTGTTCATTAACACAAATTTCTAATCAGCCAATCACATGGCACTCAATGCATTTACACATGTAGACATGGTCAAGACGATCTGCTGCAAACCGAGCATCATAATGGGGTTTAAGCTTGATTTAAGTGACTTTGAACATGGCATGGTTGTTAGTGCTAGATAGGCTGGTTTGAGTATTTCAGAAACTGCTGCTCTACTGGGATTTTCACGCACAACAATCTCTAGGGTTTACAGAGAATGGTCAGAAAAAGAGAAAATATCCAGTGAACAGCAGTTCTGTGGGTATAAATGCCTTGTTGATGCCAGGGGTCAGAGGAGAATGGCCAGACTGGTTTGAGCTGATAGAAAGGCAACAGTAACTCAAATAACTACTCGTTACAACCAAGATATGCAGAAGAGCATCTCTGAACGCACAGCACAACGAATCTTGAGGTAGATGAGCTACAGCAGCAGAAGACCACACCGAGTGCCACTCCTGTCAGCTAAGAACAGGAAACTGAGGCTACAATTAGCACAGGCTCACCAAAATTAGACAATAGAAGATTGGAAAAATGTTGCCTGGTTTGATGAGTCTCGATTTCTGCTGTGACATTCGGATGGTAGGGTCAGAAATTGGTGTCAACAGCATGAAATGGTTCAGACTGGTGGTTGTGGTGTAATGGTGTGGGGGATATTTTCTTGGCACACTTTGGGCCCATTAGTACCAATTGAGCAACATGTCAACGCCATACCTGAATATTGTTGCGGACCATGTCCACCTCTTTATGACCACAGTGTACCCATTACTTCAAGCAGGTTATTGCGTCATGTCATAAAGCGTGAACCATCTCAAACTGGTTTCTTGAACATGACAATGTGTTCACTGTACTCAAATGGCCTCCACAGTCACTTGTTCTCAATCCAATAGAGCACCTTTGGGATGTGGTTGAATGGGAGATTCGCATCATTGATGTGCAGCAGACAAATCTGCAGCAACTGCGTGATGCTATCATGTCTATATGGACCAAAACCTCTGAGGAATATTTCCAGTGCCTTGTTGAATCTATGTCACAAAGGATTAAGGCAGCTCTGAAGCCAAAAGGGGATCTAACCCCATACTAGTAAGGTGTACCTAATAAAGTGGCCGGTGAGTGTAGGCCTGTGCAAAAAAGTTTCTGGCTTGAAGTTCTATGGAGTATAAAAGCAAACTATAGTGTGTGTGCATAAATACACTTTCTATGTATACTATGTTCTGAGAGCTATGGTGCTTATTATGATTTTCTCATATCAAGGTAAGTGCGCAAAGGTCTCTCTCAGACATGCAAACACACACATACACACACACACACACACACACACACACACACACACACACACACACTATAAACCATATAACATATAAACCATATAAGAAACTCGGCTTTTTTTAACTGATGATCAATGGCAAAAAAAAAAACGAATTGTACCTCTTCCAAACAGGGAAAACTACCAACAATCAAGAATACATAATAAAATGGTGTTAAGTTTTTGCAATCGACAAATGTCATTATAATGGAAGCTAATGGGGCAAAAACAGCCATGAACATAACGAAAAGATAGTAAATTTGCCCAGAGTATATTGTTGATTTTTGAAAGAATTTAAAGCATTTTTTCCAAAATATGTGTCAAAAATAAGACTTGTCACCAAAAATAATTCCATTTGCTGAAAAAACATCCCCAACAGCAAAAAAAAAAAGGGTTGTGTACTATACTGTAAATCGCTCTAGGTAATACCATGTCCTGAGCAAATGAAAAAAAGGTCCCTATACCATGCATTTTTATCTTCACACATTGATACACATTAAGGATTTTCACTCTTGATATTGTTAACACTGGGTTATCCCAAACCCTGGAAAAAATGTAGTTCTGGGTTATCTGTAATCATGTTTTACACTGGTCATAGACTGTAAAACCCAACAGTCAATTTTATCAACTGAAATGAGTGTAGTTAACTCAAAATTGACTGAAAGTAAATTCTACTCATTTATAAAGAGTTTTGAACCCATTGTTGAAGGTAATGAGTTAATTAAATTACTCAATAATTTAACTTAAACGGAGTAAGTTCACAGTACTCATATAGATTTTTTATTTTTTTTTTACTCAAATGGTTTGTTGCAATTGGTTTCCTCAAACAGTTTGAGTTGTCTTAACTTATTGTGTTTTACAGTACTCAGTTGGTTTGAGTTCTCTTCATTTATTGGGTTTTACTCTGCTCAAATTGCTTCATTTACTCAAATGGATTAAGCTCACAGTACCAATTAGTGCTAGTTTTTAAACTTAAATAGTTTGTTGCAATCGGTTTGAGTTATCTTAACTTTTTGGGTTTTTACATTGTACTATACTTACGTTATACTTGTAGTTCAGCTATAACTTTAATTTTAAAGTGTCTAATGAGAGGTTAAATGCTATTGTATGACATTTTCGGTCATACTGGCAGCAACAATGAATAATTTACTTAAGAAAGAAAGAAATATGACAGCTAATAAGTGTATGATAATGTATCTCAGAAACACAACAAGGCTTCTGTCTTTTAAATAATGTTATTGGCTTAATATTCAGTCTATTTCAAAGTAAGAGCCTGCCCACACAGCCTTTTAATTGGCTGTGGATTTTAATTTAAAGACAAATTGCTTGTGGCTACATTTTAATTGCTCTTCATCTGGTTAGGGTGTGGTTTAATTCTTTCTCAATGTTCTTTATAGATGTGTTATTTTGTTTTTTAATCTGAAACTATTAATATAAAATAATGCAATACTACTGGAACAAGTGGTGACTTTGCAAAAAAAAATCTATTATTCATCTATAATGAAAGCAAAAGCCTTGACTTGCTGTCTAATTAAATTTTTTGTGCAGGTTTGTCAAGCATGGAGAAATCAAACGGAATAACAAAATGCAAACAGTTTTACTTTCACTTCACAGGCAGAGTTTAGACACACTGTTAGACTACGAAGTAATGAAATAACACATTCCTCACCCCCATTTTGGCAGATTGGCAATTTTTAGTCTAATTAATAACCTTTTATTTTAAAATCTTAAAGAAAGTTTTATAGTCCCATTTAAAAAAACATAAAGGTTATATATAGGCACTAAAACATTGCTCTCTTACAGTGTTGCTGTTGATTGGGCAGCGGCGCAGCGCCAGAGCAGTGTGTTTTAGTCAAGCAGAAGGTCCAGTGTTCGCTGGATTCCTGCTGATGTGTTCCTGGCTCTTAGTTCATCCAGCATGTTTTCAAGTGAGCAGACATTGGCAAGCTGGATGCTTGGCGTAGGGCACATCAGTTGAACAAGTCTTTCACTCAGGATTAAGTTGTATACCCAAAAAAACTATCCTGCACCTCAGTGGGGAATTCAGTGAAGCTGAATGTTAATCTCTGTTTGACTTTTTGCATGTCCAGTAGGGTTTGTCTATCAGAAGATCTCTCTAAAGAGAAAGACGAGAAGATTCAATTGCAGTCTGCTTTTTGTTCTTCCCTGGCTGCCGATATAGATCTAAACTACAAAAGCTTTGGGATATCCTCATAGGGGCTATTTAACAGGCTTAAAAAAGGTTGCTGAAGTTGCATTACTGTTAAAAACAGTCAACATGTTTCTGCAACAGAAACTGTGTGGACGTGTTCATGGCCACCATATTAGTGGGGAAGAAACATGAGGAGATTATATTTTATCTTAAAGCCTTTCAGGGGAGAATAACATGGGAGGCTGTGTAAATATATCGATGTATCAGCTCATAAATTGTTCCTTTAGGGAATCCTGTCTCTGCAGTGATGTCACAGATGATGATCTCACATGATGAGCTCAGTGTTATTTAGACTGTGCCTGCCAACAGGCACTTCAGCGACCCCCTGCTTTTTATCAGCTTGTTGGACCGCTCCGATAGCAAGATACTTTAGCATAGAAGATTGACTTTTTTTACAGACTGCAGCAGAGAGAGCTTAATATCTGGAGGATGTTTATGCTTTCTTTGAAATAGTAAATTTTGTTTGTTTTTGTTTCAGGTCCACAGGGTGAGAGAGGACGGGATGGCTCACCTGGTAAAGACGGTGAGTTTTTTTCATTAATTATTTCTTTCTAAGAGTATTTTTTCATCCTTGAGTAGGGCCTGACAGAATCTGCGGACATTTTTTGCTAATTATGTGGAATTATGTGGAATGGTTTTGAGAGTACTAAAAACTAAAGTAGACACATGAAATGAACTTCAAATTAAGGTTTACAATGCAAATCAAATTAGAGCCACTTGTTTGGTAATTAATGTAAGACTCCTATAAAATATCCTCTTAAAGAGCCCATATTATACATGAAATAGGGTCATATCCTGGTTGTAAGGGTCTCCAACAACAGTCTAATATGCATGCAAGGTCAAAAAACACTTTCATGGTCTTATAATCTGCATTTATTTTTACCTAATTATCCCAGCGACTCCTGTATGAATCGTCCAGTGATTCATTTGTTCCCAAACCCCTCCTTAGCGCGGAGCTAATCTGCGCTGATTGGACCGATGACAGTCTGTCGCGATTGGTCGACTGCCTTCAGTCAGAGAGGGAAATGGCCAATAGCTAATCAGCAATTTAAAAAGTAATCACAGTTCATACACGCTCGATAGTATAGACGTGGATTTTAGCTGCCACACTATGGTGAGTGGATAGTGCCACGGATAACCGAACGAAGGAGACAGTCGTGTACTCGCCATACCACACACACACAAAAACACACACACACCTCCGGATGACAACGCTCCCGCTTCCGCCCGCACCCGCCAGGTTTTAGCCTGAGAACCCGCTCCGTTTTCTGCCCGCCGCGCCCGGTCCCGCTAGAGCGGAGAACACAACCAAAAATCACCCAGTATACAGTCCAGACAGCCAAGCTGTCGTTCGTTCGTTCGCTCTCTCTCTCTCTCTCTCTCTCATACGCGCGCGTGCGCACTAACACACACACACAAGCACCACGCAGACTCTCTCTTTCTAATTCGCATAGCAATATCCGTGATATTGCTAGACAGCCCGCTCCCGTCCCAAATTAAACCCGTTACCGACCGCTCCCGCGATTTATTCGGAAATTTATTCCCGCGGCTGTCCCCGCGCCAGATTTCTGCGGCGCGGGAATAAATTTCCGAATAAATCGCGGGAGCAGAACTCTAGCACGGAGCTCCATAAACAAACAGCACGCGTCGCGTTTTTAACGTGACTTTGCACGCGATAAGATCAAATATCCAGTTAACCTGATACAGTACACGCGGTTACAAGTAACAAATCACAACTAAATACATTTGCAAGCAAGAGTAAACGAGGCAACAACTTTAACCGCACGTACTTACACTTGAGAAATGGAAGAAACCCATCCTGACGTCCATCAGTTACTCTTTACTGATCCTTCCTTTAACAAACTCAGATGAAGTATTCTTTGTAGCATGTAGCTTCCAGAAGTTTCCAACTGCTTGGTTATAATGCTGAGGTTTCATCTTTGGGTAGAGACTCAATATATCCATCTGCAGTGTGACTTCAATCGACCGGCATGTTTGTGTGCGTGTGTTTGTGGGTGTGCGTGTGTTTGTGGGTGTGTGTCTGGGTTTCTGCGTCAGAGGGCGGGGCCTCAGGTTTGAAATCTCCCGGGTTTGCGCGTGCACGTGAATAACTTGGTTTCGTTCGTACGTCATGGCGAAACACCTAATGAGTCGGTATCAAGGCGACTCGTTTGAAGCACTATGAGTCGACTCTTTTATAGATGAATCAACCGTTTTAAACACTGTATTCTTACAGATTTAAGCCTTAGCTGGATACTTCGCTTCACTTAGAGCTGTGTTACACACTACATGGAGGGGAATTTTCAAAAACCCATAATATGGGCTCTTTAAAGGTACTTTACAAACTCTAATGTACATAAATCATATAAACAATGTTGGGTAAGTTACTTTTAAAAAGAAATAAATTACAAATTACTGATTACTACTCGAAAATTGTAATCTGATTACATTATTAATTACTTCATGTAAAATGTAATCAGATTATTAGTTACTTCACTTTAAGTTACTTTTAAAACATAGAATATATCTATAAGAATACAAAATAAACTGCAGCTCTTTCAGTAATTTATTATTCACAGAAAAACATTATAATGGGTTGATCACAGCAGCTTGACATTTTCAAAATTCTTTAAGAATTTGCCCAAAACTTAAAATTCTCTCATCATTCATTTGTTCCAAACCTGTTTGTCTGTTTTTTTAACACAAAAGAAGAAAACTGGATACCTGTAACCATTGACATCCATAATATGAAAAAGCTCTGCAGTGTTTGAGTGTTCTGTGTTTGTCTGAGGTAATAAGTCTACCGAAATTTGTATATTCCAAAGTATGAAGCTGATCGGTTAGTTCTTGTTTCGTGACTCATGGTTTTCAACTACATGTGCCTGGGAAATGGGAGCGTGTGCAATATGTGCTCCTAAAAAGACGCGATATGTGAATAGTCCCATAAGCAGCTATGCTTCTCTTCACATTCAGAAGATACCTTTACTCCCGATCCTGCACAAAAAAAATCTATTTAGGCTGACTTGGGTTGCTGTGTTTTTGAGCACTGGAGTCCTCCTTGGTGACAAGTATTGTCGTTAAATGCTTTCTTTTCAAGTGCTTGAACAAGTTGCTGGTCGAGTTAAAAGCAGTCGAAAGTTCTTTAAAGGTTCAGGACACACTGGAGAACTTTTTTTGAGCTTTTGTCAGCTAATTTCAGCTTCCGGGTTTAAAATGATTTTTGGGGCGGGATCAAAATCGGCGACGTAGCCCAGTACTGCAAGTGCAATGATGACGCGTCGGTTTCTCATTATTATTCATAGCGGAGTTTTCTTATCCTATGAGAAGAGCCGGCTGCTTAATTATTCATGAGACCTGCCAGACCTGCCAGAGTCAAGCCCGAGCTGAGACACGGACCCAAGCACACAGTTTTTAGCCGTTCATGAAGGCTCATATGCATTTGTTTCCATGATCCACGGGGTTTGTTGCATGTTTTCCCTGCGATCTTGTCATGGCCGATCATACAGCAAAGCTGTGTGTGTGCTGCTAGCATTTTTGTCGGGAGAGCAGCACGAGAATTAGAGAATGGCGGACGCTGTCTTTTATCAGGAGTTCGTTCACATTCAGACACATCACTGTGCTGCTGTGTTTGCCTAAATCCTCCAGATTACCAGCAGGGCTAATGGTTAAAATAGACAGGTCAGGAGACCTGCTGCACTGAGTCTGCTGGATACAGGGATTGAGGGAGAAGTCCTCATTTATAGGGTTTACATGAACACACCTTTCTTGATAATGATATAAATTGCGGTTATGTGTATATGAAATTACGAATAACAAATGTAGCAGGGCACTAAAGCTCTATTCATTTCTTTACATTTTAACTTTGTAAACTATAAACTCATGCGTCTCCTCACGGTTTGTCTCATTTTGTGAGCTAACTGACTACAACAGTTGTTCGCTCACGTTCTCCCCTGCTGGCTACGCCCACTCCTGCCCGATGCTCGCGGAGCTCCACGCCCATTAATCATGCATCTTTTGAAAAAATTCTGAAGTAGACTTTAACCGAAAGTTGGGGGTGTCATGGCCCTTTAAAGACTGGACATAGACTGCATTTCACAGCAATATTTTCGTTTTTACACTTAATGCAATCAAAGTAATGTCTGTATTTCTAATTGAAGAAGCAGCCACTCTCGAGAGCAGCTATTTCAGCTCACATTCTCCAGCAATTTAAAAGCGCATGCTTCTTAACTGACGTTGCAGCAGAAAATGTGATTTAAAAGAAGCATTTTTTCTTCCAAAAACTATATTAGTGACATAAGTTATGCTGACTTTACTAACTGTAATCAAATTACACACATTTTAAATCTATTTTGTTACATTACTGTGTAAATGTAAAACAAAAATGTAATTATAATAAAGTAACGCATTACTGTGGAACGCCTTACACCCAACTCCCAACCAATAATGTTACTGAAATTAATATAAATACTGAATAAACATATATTTACACACAGCTACATAAGTAAAAAATAATTGAATCATGGGCCATTAATCTATGGGTTTTTATGCGTACACATTCCATGTGGGCTTATTCTTGAGTTAAGTCTAAAGGAAGCACAAATTCACACTTATGGAAACTCACAATAGAATTTTGCTGCCCATTTGCCCATTCACTTTGTCAGGTTTTAGGCAGAACATTTCTAAAAGCAGCAAGTATGCCTATCTCAATAATCAATGTCTTGATTTATTGTCAATAAATGGAGATGACCTCAAAAATCTTTGGTGATGCAATATATTTCGCCCATTGTGTTTGCTTAAAAATTGATGTCAATGACATTTGATCTGATTATTCAGCCTCTGCCATCTCGTCTAATCTCTGTTGTAACTCCCTTTCGAAAACAATCATTTATTTTTTGGAAAACCATTGACAGTTTGAAAGAAGTTTTCCAAAAGAGCTCTGTTTCAAAGCTGCAGTCCACTTCCAGAAAAGTGACACACATTCATAAATAACGATAAAGCCATTTTACAAGCACATTTACATTCTTCATCACTGGCGTCAATGTTTAGGTGAGGACATTTACTTTTTAACATCAAATTACAGAAACTAAATAACCTTAAGAATGAAACGTTTTTGCAAAGGTTTACTTGTGTTATCATGCTGTTGTATCACCTTTATATATTCTTTGGCATAAAATAACAAGTTATCGCATTAATATCTGGGACAATGTTTTATAATATTAGATTATTTATTGTGACAGGCCTAGCAGCCCATTATCCCATCATCACTAGAGTGCTGGAGCCATGACATTAAACTCAGATTACAATAATTCAGCACTGGTTCCCTTGAGATTTGGTGGGTTTTTAAAATGGATTTTTTCAGTTTACATTCTGTGTTAAACATATCTTGATAGATCTTCGACATTTTGCTATACAACATGCATTACACTCATAATGAAAACTATTTTTTAAGCAGTAATTTTTATTTTTAAAATGACATATGTTTCTAATAAGTAGCAATATGAAAATATTTGGGGTGTGAGTGTGTGAAGTTAGGAGTGTAAAACAAAATGTCAGTGTCATTAAGTTTTGTTTACCCCAGACCTTACTTTACTCATTAAATGAAATTAAAAGACAAATGAAAATCTCAACAGTAAATTAGAGTAACAGTACATTAGTCTTCTATAACAGTAAATTAGTTATCTATGTTTTGTCATCACTGTTCAATGCATGAATAAATAATATGAAAAAATATGTTTTAGTTACCTTTTTAACAATTATGAAAACTCTTAAAAAGAAAATTATGTCATCATTTACTCAATTTCAGGCCATTTCAAAACTGTATGATTTGACTTCTCCTGTGGCACTCAAAAGTCTGTTTTATTAAATAACATGAGGGGGAATCTGTGTTCGCGTGGGTTTCCTTTGGGTGCTTCGTTTTCCCCCACAGTCCAAAGACATGCAGTACAGGTGAATTGAATAGGCTAAATTGGCCGTAGTTTATTTGTGTGAATGTGAGAGTGTATGGGTGTTTCCCTGTACTGGGTTGCAGCTGGAAGAGCATCCGCTGTGTAAAACATATGCTGGATTAGCTGGTGGTTCATTCCGCTGTGGCAACCCCTGATGAATAAAGGGACTAAGCCGAAGGAAAATGAATGAGGGGGAATACAGGATAAATGTGATCCTGTACCGTAAAATTAGTCATAGGTTTAAATTGTTTAAAATTAAGACTTTTACATCATATTAAATTTGTATAAATACAGTAATATGTCCACTTGCTGAATATTTATAATATAAATTATTTGACCAAGAAAAAATATGACATATATAATAAATATTTGACCAAGAAAATATGGAATCGAAAGCTTCAAATAAATCTTATACTGGAATTATTGCCTTTAAATTTGACTAAATTAAGTTCCTAGCAATGTACACTACTAATAAAATTTACAATATCAAAAACAGTTTTTTTGTCTTCCTTTAAATGAGAATGTAAGTAAAAATCATACTTAAATATTTAACCAAGTTTGTGAATTTTTTTTAACAAAACAACTTTTTTTTTAATTTGCGGACTTTGGGTTTGTACGAATAACTAGACATTTGTGGTTTGTGCATTTCAGGTTACACGTTATCAGATACAGATTTCATAGTTCGAGCTTCAGTTTGTTGGCCATATTGATATCTAACATACATTATATGTGTTCTCTTTACCTGTAGGTAAAGCAGGGTCTCGAGGTCTTCCAGGACCCAAAGGGGACGTTGGAACCAGAGGACCATCTGGGGCTCCAGGGTCTAAAGGAACAGCTGGTCCTCCAGGTACTTTTAATAAATCAGTCCCACAACAATTATGCAATTCTGAGTGTGCCTCACAGGTCAGTGAGCTTGACAAAACTACTCGAAGAAAACACATTCTTTCACTGACACTTTACTCACATCTACAGCAGTTTTTTTCACATTTGCACAAGACACTTTCCTACAATCACTCCATTTCTCTAAACAAAAAAAAATGTGCATTTATGACAGGTGAGTGGGCTTGACAAACCACCTGTAGAAACACTCTTCTCTCTACAAAAGAAAACTCCCCCTCTTTACTCATTAATTCATTAATTAATCCATTTTCTTTTCAGCCTATTCCCTTTATTATTCAGGGGTCACCACAGCGGAATGAACCGCCAACTTATTCAGCATATTTTTTATGCAGCGATGCCCTTCCAGCCACATCCCATCACTGGGAAACACCCATTAACACACATACACAATGGACAATTTAGCTTACCCAATTCACTTATACCACATGTGTTTGGACTTGTAATTTTAAACAAAGTCCGGCCAAAACGATTTTGAGTTCACTTTGGCAATTTGAAACAGCTGTCCAAAGCAAACTTTTTGGGGAATTCATTTTGCTTCTAAACACCTTTGAGCTACCATTGATCTGTGACAATTACGCAGTCAGTGGATGTGTTCTGGAATTCCACCGTTTTAATGTGCTTTGTAGTTTAGAGTCTGACAGGAGAAAAACATCCAGCACAACAACACCAATATAGCAATATAAATGAACTAGACAGTTGAGTAGATGTTCGATTGCTCACTGGAAGATAATTTTTAAAGATTGTTTAAAGCAGGGGTCACCAAATTTGTTCCTGGAGGGCCGGTGTCCTGCAGATTTTAGCTCCAACCCTAATCAAACACACCTGAACAAGCTAATCAAGAGCTGCGTCCCAAATCGCATACTTATGCACTATTCTACGCCATTTTGTAGTATAAATAGTGTATGCAGTGCGTTCACACTGAAAACTCTAAAAATAATAAGTGCACTTTAATTACCCGGATGACGCACTCATTCAGCCGCTAAAATGAAGTGTGTAATGATGGACACTTCACGCACTCAACGACCACAGGTTTGCTTACGTAGCGGAAGGGGCGGAGCTATCGGACGCACATGTTGAATAACTTTATTTAATTTGGATGGTGAAAGCAAAATTCTTTTACGAGAGTGATTATAGCGCCTCCCGATAGTGATTGCGGCAATACTCACGGCAGGTATTATTTGATAATTTGGCCGTTTACTTCAATGATTTGGCAACCGTCAAACGTCATCAGGGAAACGGTTTGAATTTCCGCTTAGTAAAAAAAAACATTAGTGTGCCATTTGGGACGACACTACATACATATACTACCCTGTTGAGTGTGTAAGTGCATAAGTACATAGTGCATGAGTGCATAGTGTATAGTGTGCCATTTGGGACGCAGCTATGATCTTACTAGGTATACTCGAAACACCCAGACAGGTGTGTTGAGGCAAGTTGGAGCTAAACCCTGCAGGGACACCGGCCCTCCTAGACCGAGATTGGTGACCCCTGGTTTAGAGTTTTACACACCAGACTTAAAGCACAACCCCATCATGCCACATCTAATAAAGTTCATTCTTCCATTTTGTGCATATCTGCGGCAAATAGAAAGAATAGTGGCATGTCGCTTAATGCTTCTCGTGCGACAAGCTGGAGAAATCTGTTTGTCTTATTTGAAACTGTTCTTCTTTCTCAGCCGCCATTGTTGTTGTGTTTAGGAGTCTACTCAATCTTTTCAAACTTATTTTGGCATCCAACAAAAAACAAAAACCAACCTTTATGAAGTTTACCAGGGACTTGATAGTTCTTTTGAATAATTAGCTAATCTTGTGTATATTGAATCACTGAAGGCCTACTCGATTAGAAGTCGTTAGACAAAAACGTCTGCTAAATGTAAATATAAACAACACTATAACAGGATTCTGAGGTATAAATCACTCTTGGACTAAACACAAACATAGAGTAGCTGTGTCCTCTAATGGTGTTATATAAAAAAAAGCACTGAAATTACACATGCAGACTTTGTCTTTGTTTTAAGATGGCGAAAATTGTCTTTGTGTATAAGTTTATATACCCATATCCATTAATAACAGAGCTTGGTTTGCTTGTGGAGCTTTGACCTATGACTTGTAAGAATGCGGTTTCTCACCATGCTAACTTTTCTGCCATAAGAGACACTATATGAAGACACTGCCGAGTCAGCATTGAGCCCCAAGTCCACTTGCCAAAATATTTGTGCTCAGACCACACTGTAAAAAAACCCTTTTTTGTTCACAGCGTGTAGTGCTTTGCTGGGGTTTGCCTAAAAACACACATTAGCTAACATACCGCTTACCCCGAGACACAAAGATAGTACAGAATTTAGTATTGTTATGATATTTGAAACATGGCCACAGGTATGAATGGAGTTTTAGCCAGAGCCATGACTGACTGAAAGGACTTTAAAGGGTCTTAGGTCTTTCCCCTCACCCTTTCCTGCCATGTGAATCCAATCTAAAGTGAACACGAGATATGTATACAATACTGGCTTTTTATTTCTTCCATATGTTTGCCAATGTATTGTTTTTCTTGGATTCAGATTTTTCTTTACGCCTCCATGTCATGCACAATGAACTGTATCTGATTGCTGTGTTCTCTCAAGAGAGGCATGTTTAAATAAAGCAAGGTAGATCTGGAGGAAAATAACGTCACGGTATATGGGCAGCTGACATGACATACTTAAGGGTAGTTGAGGTGTCCCGCAGTGATGAGCTGTTTTTAAACTTAAATTTTAAACATCATGTTGTAACCCAGGCTCATTATTAATATGTACCCTTATATACATTTCTGGAGAGCGTAAAAATATGTCACAGTAGCTATTTTTTTTTGCAGATTTTGTTTTCGAAAATTCACCAGAGGCCACTGTGTATGCTTTTTCGGATCTGAAATTTCTCCTGGGATTGCCATTCATGCCTGCTTCTCTCGCGTAAATCCACCAGAGGCAGCTGTCCACTGACCGACTGACTAACCAACTGACCAATCCCCCACCCACCCCTTTCTTAAACCCAACCGATAATGTTTTCAAAAGTACCGATTGACCCACCCACTGCCTTCCCTAAACCCAGAAATGACAGTTTTTAAAAGCGGTCCAAAAAAAAAAAAGCCCTCGCAGCCGCATGATTTTTAAATTTTTTTTAGTATGTACCACGTTCTCACCCTGTTATTTACTTGTTTATTTTATTTTATTTTATTTTATTTTATTGGCTTTTGCTTTACCTTCTTACTGGAACTATTCTTCGCTGAATTTAAAACCCATTATCATTAATCAACACCTTTCTGCGTCTCAAGTCTGCCGACTTACGCGGCGAGCTACTGGGCAAACTTGTATCAGAGGTAAAGCCGTCCACACAGAGGAGAGTGGTCAGCTAATAGCGTGAAAAGAAAGAGAAGCCATCAGCAGCATCATACCACCCCGCAGCATTCATTTAAAAAGAAGAAATGTATCCATACGTATCTCTGGCTACATAATTTGCACTCTACAGAAATGTATGTAAGGGTATGTTTTCACAATGAACCAGTGTTGTCATTTTGATTCTCCGTTTTATTCAGCTTTTTTGACTTTCATGAGTAATGTGTTTTATGACGCATTAAGTAAGACTATAGTACACTGTAAAAAGTGATTACTTGACTTTGCTTTTAAAAAAAAGAGAGTTACTCGTTTAGTAGTAATTATTAAGTAAATGACCTATGTTTATAATTATAAAAGTTAAGTCAATGGGTTTACTGACATTTTAAAAGTAAAATCAACTTGTTGCTTTTAAGGCAATTGGTTTACTCCCTTTTTTTAAAGCAAATCAACTAATCGCTTTTTTCGTGTACATGGACTTTAATTGATTTGTACTTTTGGAAATGTATTTACACTGCAGCACTATTAAAAGGGATCAGGTTTGGGGGGGGGGGGGGGTAGTAAAAATGGAATAATGATGATTCACATACTTGATTTTGGTCACAGTTTATTTTAATGTCCAATTCACCAATTACACTTTTTTATTAACAAACCATTAACTAAGAGTTTTAGCTCAATATACTACTAATTTGCTGGTTATTGGGTTTAGGTATGGGGTAGGATTATATATTTAGGATAAGATCATATTTTATAATGCTAATAAACAGTCAATATAGTAGATACCATCACTATCTATTTTTAAATCACTTTTGAAAACTTAGCTGTTCAGTTTGGCGTATTAGTATTATACTAATAGCTTCGTCAACTGCTTTGTTTGTAAATATTATGTTGTATAAATAATACTGTTTAGTTACTGGCAAGTTTTGGGGCTTCAACACCCTTCTTATTGAATATATATGTTGTTTCTATTGGTTTTTCTATGTTATATATGTTTTTATAGTTTTAATAAATCTTTGTGTGTCTTATGTACAAGACTTTTAAATGTGCTTTTTAAATAAATTAACGTGAACATTATAGCTTAGTAATAGGCAGGTAATAAGCCATTATGGTATGAGATGTAACTTAAACTAAATTGCTACCATGGTTTTTATCTTGTCTTTCTTTTTTTGAAAGTAAAACATTATGTATGTATAAATAAAATTAATATAAGAAGATTAAAACCACAACTAGCCTATGCTCCAGTGTACAACCAACATGATTTTGCCAAGACATGTTCCCACATGAACATCTGTCCAGTCAACCAACTAGATTTGTGGAATATGTTTAATTACTGGCAAGTTTTGGGGCTTCAACACCATTCTTATTGAATTATTATTTCTGTCTGATATTAGGTTTGGGGTAAAGTTAAGAATAGGGATTGATAAAGACAAAATATTTGGACAGGCATGTTGTTTGAAAGATGTTGATGCATGGACATGTCCTACTTGGTGAATTCATGTAAAAAAAAATCATAGCAATTCCATAGTCCTTTTTTAAGTGGGATAGAAAGGATGGTACTGGAAATGCCAAATTCAGTGATCATAACGCCTTTCTATTTTTGTGTGGTTATGATCATGACTCAGCAGAACACTATTCCACGCACTTCCTGTTGAAGGAAAACAGGACATCCTCTTTACATGATGCATACTGTATACACAATGAACTGTTATTCACTCAATTAGAATTTCACAAAGTAGACACGTGTGACCTATGCAGTGACACTTGTCTGAGTCCACTTCACACACATGCTGTCTGCTTATTTTTCATAGAAATTTATCTATTGGTATTATTTAAAGCAGGCCAAAATAATAAGTCTCATTTATATGTAGATTGTACACCTAAAGGATGCACGCTTACAGCGAAAACACTGATAGTTCACATGGAGTCACAGTTGAAACCCATAAAGAGATGTCAGAGATATGTTTCTGTTTTGTATGTGCAAGAGGTCACCGGAAAGCCTTGACACATTTGTGTTGCCAGATCTTGCTTGAAAACAAATGTCAATAAGTACAAGCTAGTCATGAACTTATAACTTAGAAATATATTGTGAAAATTACTGAACAACATCAGTTGAACAATTTCACAAACTTTCCTTTACAATTAAAATCTACAAAAATGCTTATAATAAGTAGTTTTGGCATCAGAGGCAAACTGAACATGCTGTGTTAAAAAGTCCTCCAGTACAAACTACAATAATATCATTGGTGCAATTTGGCAAACAATGAATGTTTGGTCAAAAATAGTTAATGTCAAAACTGCGAGATGCTATAACATTGACGTACATTGATTCCCATGCTTTCAGTCATCACAATTTCAAGAGTGAGTTGAGTTCTGCACACACTTCCATATGATTATTTAGTGGATTCACTCTCATATTTCATCCTTAAACTTTACAGTGTGTATTGAACATGACATTAGCTCTTGGTTCAAATAGATTGTTCGAGGTTAGTGAGTAATAGGTAAAAAAAAAAAGGGGGGGGGGTAATCACAATTGTTTATCTTATTAGCTTTATAGATAATCATTTTAAAAGATGTGTACGCTAATTCTCATCTAACCTCTTTTCCAAAATAATTTATTTTGCATTGCATTGCATCAACTTTTAAACACATAAGAAGCAACTGACTAGAAATGGGGTGATAAGCAAGGAAGGATATCACAGATGAGTATTAAAAGGAAATGAAAAAAAAACACAAGAATCAATAAAACACACAAAGACAGGCAGATGAAACTTTTGCTCTGATCACACACTCACCAGCCGTGACATGTTGCTTTTCTTTCCTTCATTATTTTAAGCTATCAGGCAACAATAAACCAGCTGGAAGGATCTTTTGTAGATGCACACACACACACACACACACACACACACACACACACACACACACATCCATCTAGACAGAGAGCTGTATGAATCAGCGCAGTCATCGGCCAGGTTTTAATTTATTACACACCAGAGTCGCTAATATGCTCCGGCATTTAGCAGTGTTTATTTGAGTTTTCCCAGCTCTCCCTGTTAGAGTCCAGCACATGGCCATTACGAACCCCCTCCTGTTAATTACAGCCCACACACACAGTCACCCACTCACACACCACTCTTATATTAACCCATTTCCTAGAAGAGTATCGAAATGAAATACTGTATTCTGCCTCAATCTGTGCTCTCTTTCACTTCCTTCCCTTTAAGATGCTTTAAACATCCTGTGACTTCCTAGGAATTCTTTTATCATATAGTGTAGGTGCTCAACACAGTGTGCAGAAACACTATATTTGTTCTCCTGTTTCCATTGAATAGGACAACAGTGCCTTATGATTGACCACTCAGGGGAAAGATAGACTGAAAGGTAGCACTTAGTATTTTTTTCTCTCTCTCATGCTTTTTTATGCTTTCTCCTCAGGTCCTCAGGGACCACCGGGACTCCCAGGAGAGAAAGGCCTCCCTGGGCCACCAGGTCCTCCAGGGCCCCCTGGACCTCCAGCCCCTGTACCTGAACAAGATGGTATGTGTTATCATCTTGCTTAAATGATAATGTACTGCTTGTCATCCGCTTATCAGCACCAGTGTTGGCTACGTTCCTTTAAAAGAGTAATTAGTTATAGTTACTAGTTACTTCTCACAAATAGTAACTGAGTTACACAATTCTAAAAGTAACTAATTACCAGGGAAAGTAACTATTGTGTTACTATCTATTTAAATAAAAATTCTAATTTGTCAAATGACTATAAAATAAATATAAAACATTGTACACTTGTCTAAACTGTTTTAATGTTGTTGTGGGACAATGTGAGAGACAACCATCAAATTCTACATCATCATAAATATTGACATTACTTTAGTTGCACAATAAAACACAACCAATGGTTTAGAACTTTAGGTATTTATTGCACAGACCCCAACTCACAAGTCTTGTCAACAAACAAATAAAAATATATAATAAACAGCTAGCAGAGCTCTAACGATCACCTGCCTTCTTAACCACTTATTTCGTGGCGGCATGTGACAACGCTTCGTTAGATTACAATTACTTGTCACCGACACAGATAGACAGGGATGCCACAGATTTTTTCTTGGGAACAAGTTACACCATACTTAAACATTCTTTCCTTTTACCTCAATGAGGGGAAATTAGTACATAAATTTACAGTTTGTAAACACTACCTTTGAACTTGTTGGATTTTCCATCGTTCTGACTGTGAACACCCGCACTACTCTACCTCTGATTGGCAAACGATGGAAATGTACTATATCTAAGCCAATCATCATGTTCTCGATGAAACCACATTCACAAACACATAAAATCATCATCGCTGGTTGGTTATGTGTCCCACTCCAGCCCTGAAAACACACCCCTGAGAAAGAGAGGTCTGGTTAATAAAGGGCCTACTTTACTTGCAGCTTGAAGTAAAGATTATATATATATAGATATAATATAAGAGGTAATATCTGATTCTGACTGAGTCTGAAACTGCATGATCGAGCCTGATTTCCAATCATGAGATCAGATATGGACATCTCTAGTAAAAATGGTGGCATTTTCAATCTAAATCATTCTTTAAATAAAAAATGCTTTAAATAAATATTTGAGCTTGAAATTTGGACATGTCATCAGATATCTATAGAATAAAACAAATATTATAATTGTACTCAATCTCATCACAATTAAATCTAGGAGATCCGAACAAACTAAACATTTGGTCTCTTAATCTTTCTCAAAGCTGTTTATTAATTACAAATAAACTCCCACAAAAGAAATGGCTTAATTGAACTATTATTTAAATAGATGTTTGGAAATACCTCCTAAAGCTAAATTAAATGTGTTGAAAATATAGTTTGTCAGACGTGTGTTTGGAAAGAATGAGTCTTAATATATAGTTCACAAATGACATTGTTCTTTGGAACTTCACATTATCAAATCATCCAAAAATATCTAGATTTTTTTTCACCGATTTTTCAGCAACACAACTGTTTTTAACAGCATTAACAGCATCCGATGCACTAATTCAGCAAAAAAGAATAATTTCTGAAGGATCGTGTGGCACTGATGACTGGAGTAATGATACTGAAAAAACTAAATAAACAAATTACATTTTTACAGTGCATTAAATTGAAGTTATTTTAAATTGTAATAACATTTTGCAATATTACTGGTGACTATAAGACTTCTTTCAAAACTTTTCAACCTCAAACATTTGAACAGGAGCGGTTTCTTATCAAATATCAAAATAACTGGACATGTAGCTCTGATTTAAATGGTTATTATGTAAGTATAAACAGACCGCGGAGTGATATGAGAGGCATAAATCTAGAACAGTTCTACTGGAAATCATTTCCCTGCAAAAACAGTCAGTTACAGTTTTGTGGTCATTTTACAAAAACATCTGACCACAGTGTTCCACAAATGACCAATCAAAATCAAGTATCCTAGAGAGCTGTTACAATTGCCCCCTTTTGCTGTTTTTGGCCCTGTCTTTCTCCCTGCCTGCCTCTCTGTAAATCTGTCTGTCTTCAAGAGCCATATATGCTGATCTCTCCCATGAGCTCTTCAGATTTTTCACACCTCTATTATCGAGTTTTTGGGGAAATTGCTGTAGTGCAGAACCAGACATGCACTTGTGTCAGTTGTTCTTGATATAAAACATGTTCAGTTATTTAAGTATAAAACCCTAATAGTAGCCACTCATGAGACATACAAGTCAAACTAATGTACTTTTTATATTGATACTGGCTTTTATACTGCAACCGGGTGAATTTGAAGCTTTAAATAAGTCACACAAATGGATTTTTATTTATTATTTATTTATTTATTTGAATATGTTTGCATAAATTCACCAACCACTTTGATAAGTCCACCTGTTCGACTGCTTGTTAACGCAAATTTCTAATCAGCCAATCACATGGCAGCAACTAGATGCATTTAGGCATGTAGACATGGTCAAGACGATCTGCTGCAGTTCAAACCAAGCATCAGAATGGGGAAGAAAGGTGATTTAAGTGACTTTGAACGTGGCATGGTTGTTGATGCCAGACGGGCTGGTCCGAGTATTTCAGAAACTGCTGATCTACTGGGATTTTTACCACAACCATCTCTAGGGTTTACAGAGAATGATTCGAAAAAGAGAAAATATCCAGTGATTTGTAATTCTGTGGGCACAAATGCCTTGTTGATGCCAGAGGTCAAAGGAAAATGGCTATACTGTTTTTTCCAGCTGATAGAAAGGCAACAGTAACTCTAATAACCACTCACTGCAATTGAGGTATGCAGAAGAGCATCTCTGAGTGCACAATACGTCCAACCCTGAGGCGGATGGGCTAAAGCAGCAGAAGACCACACCAAGTGCCACTCCTGTCAGCTAAGAACTGGAAACTGAGGCTACAATTCATACAGGCTCACCAAAATTGAACAATAGAAGGTTGGAAAAACGATGCCTAGTCTGATGAGTCTCGATTTCTGTTGTGACATTCAGATGGTAGGGTCAGAATTTGGCATCAACAACATGAAAGTATGGATCCATCCTGCCTTGCATAAACAGTTCAGGCTGGTGGTGTAATGGTGTGGGGGATATTTTCTTGGCACACTTTGGCCCAATTTCGGGCCCAATTGAGCATCGTATCAATGAAAATAAAAAAAATTAATAAAAAAAATAAAAGGTAGGTGGTGTACCTACCTTTTATTTTTTTTACCATACTACCTTAGTATAGTTGCTGACCATGTCCATCCCTTTATGACCACAGTGTACCCATCTTCTGATGGCTACTTCCAGTAGGATTACATACCATGTCATAAAGCGCGAATCATCTCAGACTGATTTCTTGAACATGACAATGTCTTCACTGTACTTAAATGTCCTCCACAGTTACCAGAGCTCAATCCAATAGAGCACCTTTGGGATGTGGTGGAACGGGAGATTCGCTGCAACTGCATGATTCTATCATCAAAATCTAACATACTATGTATGTTTTTATACTAAAAAAATACAAATATATGCAGAAAAAATATTTTCAAGATGTTTGTTTGTGTGTGAAAAGCCTGATTTTAATGTGCAGTTCCTTTAAATCTTGTCAGTAAATGGTAAAATATTGTGATTGGCTAATGCTAGAAAATAAAACAAATATATATATATATATATGACAACAGTTATCCATAATAAAACCCTGAATTGCAGGCAAAGCATTGTGAAATGAATTATACCTTCTGTAAGATCATGTAGAGCTGATTGCTTTTTTTCTACAAAATCCTCTTGAAGATCTTTCCATTACACTGTGCCTTTGCAAAATAGTCTGCAGTCAAACACTGAAAAAACATGTTTAAAAAGTACAAATTTAAATGTATTATTAAAAATAAACATATACTTGAATAAATCTACTTGTTCCCAATACCTCCTGAAATCTGTACAAAAACGCAAGCATGCTAATTCTGTTTTCCTTTTGTATAAGTACATAAATGATTTGTTTTCAACAAGGAGGAAATTTCATGTATTAAAACGTGCTGAATGTTTTAATCGAATAAAAATCTCTTATATGTAAAAAGATCAAGACAGCTTTGATTCCACATGTCATGACCCCTTTAAATGAGCCCGGAATAAATATAAGTAGAAAAAGAGGGCTGGATTGAGGAATTAGACTAACTTCAGGGCATCTCCTCTCTCATTACTCCTCCCCTCCGTCCCGCCATTGATTAAAATGGCAGGTTTCAGGAGGTAATGCAGGCTAGACTCAACAGCCACATGCTGGGGGAAAAGACCTGTCTGTCTGCCTGCTGCTGATGTCACTCAACCGCTTCCAGATGTGCACAGCCAAAACAGCATGTGTGTGTGTACTCTGTTTTGAGACGTACACTCAGTTAAGCTCCAAGCACGAGGGAGTGTTTTATAATAGAAGCAATAATTTTTTAGTGTGTGTGTCGTCACTCTCGGGGAGGACTGGCCCGTGTAGCTGACTGACACTTCACCTCGCCTCAGTTTTATATCTGCTCTCTGCTGAACGGGACACAGGCCTGCCCAGACCTCATAAAGTTTGAGAATTTTCAATTTAGGGGCCTTAGAACTTTATAACTCAGTTAAAGCTGTTATTCCCATGATTCTACCTTCAAAGTAATCAGGACAATTAAAGGGTCCGCATGGGGCTTCAATAGAAAAACACTGTCTTTATTGGAGTTTCCTGTCTGCGTCTGAGCTCAGAAATGCCCTGCAGACACAGAGGTTACAGCAGACTTACCTGCTGAGGCCTGAGACTCACAGAGAGACAGAGGGATGGACAAATGGAAGGGTGGATAGATAGATGGACAGACAGAGAGATGGAGAAAGGGACAGATGGATAGACAGGTAGGCAGAGAGAGAGACAGATAGCAGACAGACAAATGAACAGACAAAAAAAACATGTACAGACAGACAAGCAGATAGATGTACAGACAGAAAGAGAGAGAGCCAGATGGACAGACAGAAATGCAGAGACAGATAGACACATTGACAGACAGACCGATAGATGGACAGACACATGGACAGACAGATTGACAGACAAAAAAAGACAGGTGAACAGACAGACAGAATTGAGATGGACAGACAGACAAATAAACAGACAGGCAAAAAGACAGATTACAGACAGACGGATGGACATAGAGACAGACAGAAAAGAGATGTACAGACAGGCACACACAGACATAGAGATAGACAGCTAGACAGATGAATGGATAGAAAGAGAGAGACAGACAAACAGACAGACAGATACATGCAGAAAGACAGACAGATGCATGGATAGACAGATGGACAGACGAACAGGTGGACAGATAGAAAGTGAGAGAGACAGGTGGAAAGACAGACATATGGACAGGCAGACCGACAGACAGAAAAGACATGTGAACAGACAGACAGAATAGAGATGTACAGACTGGCAAAGAGACAGAAGGCAGACGGGCAGACACAGACATACAGATAGACAGACAGACAGATGGATGGACAGACACAGAGAGAGAGAAAGAGAGAGAGATACAGACAGACAGACGGACAGACAGACACACACACAAAGACGTATGGACTGATACATGGACAGACAGACTGACATAGACAGATGGACAGACACATGGACAAACAGGAAAGACAGGTGAACCGACAGACAGAATAGAGATAGACAGGCAAACAGACAGAAGGCAGACAGACGGAGGGACAGAGATAGAGACAGACTGACAAAAGAGATGTAAAGACAGGCTCACACAGACATACAGATAGACAGACAGACAGACACATGGAGAGACAGATGGACAGACAGACAGACAGAAAGAAGTATGGACAGATAGACAGCCAGAAAAGTGCTGTGCAAACAGACAGACAGATGGATAGACAGAGAAAGACAGACTGACAGACAGACAGAAAAGAGATGGAAAGATAGGCACACACAAAGGCACAGACGGAAGGATGGATGGATGGATGGATGGATGGATGGATGGATGGATGGATGGATGGATGGATGGATGGATGGATGGATGGATGGATGGATGGATGGATGGATGGATGGATGGATGGACAGACCGAGAGAAAGAGAGACAGACAGACCAACAGATAGACAAACAAACAGACAGACATACGCATGCTGAGACAGACAGACAGACAGACAGACAGACAGACAGACAGACAGACAAACAGACAGACAGACAGAGATCTGGACAGATACAGTCAGAAAAGAGCTCCACAGACAGACATATAGATGGACAAGACATTGACGGAGAGGCAGTCAACCTAACAAAGAGAGAGTGACAATGGACATACAGGCAAAAAAAAGATGGACTGACAGAGACAGATAGATGGACACACAAAGAGGCAGACACAGACAGACAGACAGACAGACAGACAGACAGACAGACAGACAGACAGACAGATAGACAAGCAGACAGACCCGCTGTGAGAAAATTGCTAGCAGTTTAAAAACCAATCTGAGGAGACCAGACAAAACGTCTGCTCTGTCTACTGCGCATAGACGACCAACATTCAGTTTCACGGTATTCTGTGGCTCAGACTGTAAACAAAAATCTGATGTTGGATTTTAAAGCTATTTTCACACAGAAATTGATTATAAATGGTCAAAATAACTACAAAAAGTAGCACACAAGACAAGATTTTAGTGTTTTCTTGTAAAAATGTACTTCAATATTCATTGTTATAACTTTGAAAAATCATTTTTACAATGCATAATAATGGATAAACGTCAACACACCAACAACAGTGTCAGTAAAAAAATTAAATCAGTAAATTAATTGACATTCAGCAAGACATTAATGAGCATTTATAACAGCAATGAAAGCATGCATTTGTACAGTATGTCTTTATTGCTTTATTTTATAATCATATTAAATGTCTGCTCTGATTGTCATGCTTGCATGTGGGTCAGTAAAGGAGAAATTACAGCCCTCACACAAGAAAAAGACAAAGAAAACCATTAGGCTGCAAAACGAAAGAAAACTGCTGGCTTGTCATTTTTTGTTATTTAATTCCCTTCTTGTGGCTGAAAATAAAAGCCAACACATCAAAATGCCACAACCAATATTAGAATTTATGGTGTGCCAATATTTTACAGCCTGCCACAAATCACATCACTTATTCTTGTTAAATAGCGCCGTCTACAGGCAAGTAGCTATAATGATGCTTTTCATCAAGCCATGGACTACCTTATTAAGATTTGTGTTGTTTTTAATTGTCACAGGTCTGAAAAAAGAAAGTCTGCTTCATAACAACTTCCCAGACCTTCGAGTGGCCCCCTCGCACGGACCACCAGGCCCAGCTGGACCAACCGGTCAGTAAATCAGAATTAAGAGAACATTTTGATTTCATTATTGGTCATGCATACCATTTGTGATCTCTACGATTAAACTATAGAACATTTTGAGGCAACAGAAATAATGGTCCTGATGTATTCCCTGTTTTACGTTGTTTAATTTCTATAGCTTCCAAGAATCTAAAAAGAGCCATATATTAATAAATAATGTTATGATAGCTGATTTAACATTAAGTCATGATTGAATTGCCTCTCGTTACAGTTATAGAATAGTTTGATACCAAGCAGGAAATGTTTGTGGGCTGGTGACATGTCCACAATGAAATGGTCTATGTACAATCTTTTGAAAGACTAATTTAAAAATAAGAGAGGACTGAAATATTTTCATTTTGTACAAATTTTTGGCATATTTACAGAAGTGGCAGCAGCATTCTGTATATAAAAACATCCATGAGATGAAGGTCAAACATACTGAATCGTCTTTAATTTCACGGTGCAGGACAATTTTTTATGCCCCACATTTCAAAGTATTAACTCATTGTTATTATGCCACTATTCATTTTTCACGTTTGATCTGATTTGTTTTCATACTGGCAGAATTTGTATTTCCATACTGTATAAATTGTATATTGAAAATATCACACAATACTAATTTACACTAGACCAGCAGTGCCCAAACTTTTTCCTATAAAGGGCCAAAAAGCAAACTTGATTGAGGGAAATTTTTTAATTTATTCAGTAATATTTTAAAATAACTAGAAAACATATTGACTAATGCACTATCATTTTTAACGTTTAATAATGAACTTATTACAGTAAAACCAGAGTTCATACAGTCATGGAAAACCTGGAAAAGTCATGGAATTTTGACATGCCATTTTCCAGGCCTGGAAAATTTTTGGAAAAATAGAAAAACCCACAAGGTTTTGGAAATGTCATGGACATTTTTGTCCAAAGCAACTTAAGCTGCTGTCACACTAGAGCTTGTGATTGCAAAATTCTGTCGCACGGTGCTGCGAAAAGGGGCAGGGTTAAACAATATGATTAGACATTAACAAAAGTAAGCGATTGCTCCACATTTTACATTTCTTATTTCAAATTATAACAATATGATTAGACATTAACAAAAGTGAGTGATTGCTCCATATTTTACAATTCTTATTTAAAATTATATTCTATTGGTCTAATGCAATCACCTGATGTGATCTTGCAGGTAAGAATTCATCAAGCTTGAACTTTCGAATGCAGTGAAATGCGAAATTGTTTTGCCTGAATGGAAGTCTATAAGGAGCGAAAGGTGCAGTGTGACAGCAGCTTTATAATAGAAATAGTTTTACCTGCTATTACTAGTTTAACAAACTTTTAAGATTATCTAAAATTAGTACAGACAAATATCTGTATATTGGAATGGAGGTTAGTTATTTTTACTTCTTTTCTTTTATTGGCCAAAGACATGCTCTCACATTATTAGTGCTGTGTAAGCATCATCTATTTTACATAGATATAAAAATAAATTAAAACTATTGCGTGTTTTATGATATGCTGTAATAAATTTAAACATTTCATATGTTTTACCACGTATATGTAGACATTACATGAAACAGAAGGTCATGAAAACTGACTTGAAAGTCCTGGAAAAGTGTGTATGAACCCTGTAAAACATAAACAATCCCATTTATTAGTTCAACACTGAATACGCTAGTCAAGCTTACTTTAATTTACTGGCAGATTTCTGGTGTATCCGTCAAGTGACAGTACTTACATTTTGTCTGATTTATTTACAGTATTAAATTTTTAGGGCTTAAGGGCTTAGTACTTAATTTTAGTTGGCTTTTTTTGTAGCTCAGCAATAAAACAAAAACAAAAGGTTGCGTTAAATTTGAAATGACCATCACTGTCAAAGGCATTCGCCCCAACCACCTCCCCATCATTCTCCCTCTCTTTTCAGATGGGATAGCGGGCCAAATCAAAGGTTGCCATGCCCTACTTTGGGCATCTCTGCACTAAACTAAATTTTCGCAGGACTTGATCATTGTGATGAAAATGAATTTATAACACCCCAAGACAAAAATATGACAGTGTTGTGCATTCAATAAGACTTCTCTTTTATTCATTCTTTGGGCACAAATCCAGCTTTTCTGTTCTCTTTCGTTCTTTTTATTAACATCTGCTACTCTTTAAAATAGATTAGCACCCAAATGTTTAGCAGCCATCTGATGCATGATAATGTAGATTCAGAGTGTTTGGAAGCTGTCTGTCTTTCTGCAGGAACCAGAAAGTGATGATGCTAGTAGAATTTAACAATTTAAATTGAACTCCAGCAGTCCATTGTCAGGCTTTTCTCTTGTCCTTATTCATTTGATCAAGTCAGATTATTACAAATTCTCAAAAGCTTTAAATTGAAAAGAAATCCCTGAATAGTTTCAGGCCATTATATTTCCATGACAGAATTTTTATATTATTTGTCATTAATATATGAAAGACTTCTTATGCCTCATGTTATCCACCTGTGCTATGAAATATGATATACATTTAAGCCGCATATTCTGTTTCAGTTTTCTGAACAGCAGGTTTACAAACGTGTTGTAATCTTGAATCAATTGGATTTGGTTTGATTTGATCCGAGTGGACAGTATTTATCGTTGTTCTATCATCTGAATACTGTGCCAGGAATCCTAATGTTTGCCATGTGTTGTTTTGGGCTGCATCATGAAATATGTCAGTGAACTGTCATACACGAATTTCAAAATGTGAGCTCATGAATGGTTTTATTTCAGATAAGTTAATTCTGTTTTTTAGGACCCCCAGGACCGATAGGACCAAGTGGACCACCAGGCCCTATGGGGCAAACTGTAAGTTACAGGCTGATGAGAAAAAAATGTGTGTGTGAATGTATACGGAGCCTCTAAGTTCACGTTTACACTGTCAGGGCTTGATGCCCAATTCTGATTTGTTGCCTTTTTGCCTCACCGTTTACACGTTCTTTTAATTGTGACCCATATCCGATTCATGTGTTTACACTTGCCATACAATTTACGACGTTGCACATGCGTAAAGGCGGGTTGTAGCATCTGCGCCACACTATCCACGATGGAAGAAATTGTCTTGCTTTTAGGTCTGCGAAATATGCGAAGTTCACCCAACCAGGTGGAGGAGGAGGTAAAGGGCCATTATCGCAGCTTGCGCCTATGGTGGTGTCTTCCACCATTCAGAGAAATTTGTGGGTACGAGAGAGATCTCGGGTTTGGTGGGTCAAATTGTGTCAGGCTTTAATGAGGAGTAGTGGGTCTGAAATTTTAGGAGGAGCAAACCAACATTTAATATGCTGTGTCAAAGCTTGTCCACACACCACTTTCCTCTGTTGTTGTTGTTGTTTACCGCGTCGGCGTCTCCACACACGCTCTTCCTTCTATGTCAATAATCCGTGGAGAAGTACCACATTGTCACAGGTTTAATGACGTACAAAACGGAATGCCTCAATAAATCCAATCTGCCTGTTTACATGATAGTCGCATTGTCACATATCTGATTTATATCTAATTTATTTCCACATATGAAGAAGGCCTGAAACTGATCTCTAAATATCCAAAAGCATGCTTTTTCTCGTGTTTACACAGTCATAGAACAGATCTGATCTGTGTTACATATGAGCAAAAAAATCGGGGTGGGTCACATTTCACTGGCTGTGTAAACGAGGCCTAAGAAGACTTCCTGAGAAACTCAAATTCGGTTAGAACGGGGATTCTTACTCGAAGGTCTATGTGTGTCCCAATATAGTGATAAGGGCCATTGTACTGTATAAAGCGCTGCACTTCAAGTGAGATGTTAACTGAGGTCTTGACTCTCTGCAGTAATTAAAAACCTCATAAATCCCTCCATCGCCTCATATCAGTCATGGCCTCTTCATTATGCCTGTCCGTTGAATTGGCTCTGTCGCCCTCTCTCCCAAAGACCAATAGCTAGTGTGTGATGACATCACTGGCTCTGTGGCTGCTGTCATTTCATCAAGAGGGGTGATGAGAGACCCACTTTGGATAACAAGCAGCAAGCAGAAAGCTGCCTTATAAATGCTTCATTCCTCATTTTTCCAACCGAAATGTGCGTCTTCTCTCAAAAGTATCACATTCCTCTGAGAAATTTTGTATTTTGGATCAGAATTTTTTAAATGACCTCACACCACAAGTTTCTTAAGGGAACATTCTGTAATCATATTGTGAGAAGCATTATAATACATTCCTTAGGCTTAAGTCCCTTTATTCATCAGGGGTTGCCACAGCAGAATGAACCGCCAACTTATCCAGCATATGTTTTACACAGCAGATGCCATTTTAGCTGCAACCCAGTACTGGAAAACACCCATACACTCTCATTCACAAACATACACTATGACCAATGTCTTTGGACTGTCGGGGAAACCGGAGCACCCGGAGAAAACCCATATGAACACGTGCAAACACAGAAATAATGCCAACTGATCCAGCTAGGACTCGAACCAGCGACCTTCTTGCTGTGAGGCAACAGTGCTAACCACTGAGCCACCGTGTCGCCTTTATTATAATACATTCATTCGTTTTCATTTCGACTTAGTCTCTTTACTCATCAGGGGTCGCCAGAGCGGAATGAACCGCCAACTTATCAAGCATATGTTTTGCACAACGGATGCCCTTTTAGCTGCAACCCTGTACTGGAAAACATCCATACACTCACATTCACACACATACACTATGACCAATTTAGTTTATTCAATTCACCTATACCGCATGTCTTTGGACTGTTGGAAACCGGAGCACTTGGAGAAAACCCACACGAACATGGGGAGAACATGCAGACTCCAAACAAAAAAGCCAAGTGCCCCAGCCGGGACTTGAACCAGCGACCTTCTTGCTGTGAGGCGACAGTGATAACCACTGAGCCACCATGTCGCCCCCATTATAATATAGTTAATTCATTTTATTTCTCTGTAAGCATGCATGCACACTAACCATATCATCTTTATCTTGTACTCAGGGAAAGCCAGGAGCTCCTGGTTTGCAAGGCCCTGTTGGACCAAAGGGTGATCGAGGTGAAAGAGTGAGTACACAAGATTAAAACTTCCAAAAGTTTAAAGAGAGAGAGAGTGCATTTCTCACCTTTAATGTAATTAACAGGGACCTCTTGGATATCCAGGAGAGAGAGGGTTCAAAGGAGAGCCGGTAAGATGCCTGCTTTCTTAGCAAATAACAGGACAGCACTGTATGAAAGCTGTGTATCGAGTATCAAAAAGATGTTCAGTGCTTGTTTGAGAACCACCCTGAAATTTAGATTAGTATTCATGTTTTTTCTCTTCCCAGGGAGAGCCAGGACCTAAAGGAGAGCCAGGGGAGAAAGGTCTTCCGGTAAGACAAGTCTATCAGGAGCCCTGTTAGCCACACACTTACTCTCTGATCATGCTAAACCTTTACAGGAAGCAGCGTGGGAGAGAAAATGAGTTCCTCACTGTTTAACCGCATTGATTTTTAATAATCTCTTTCCTTATGCCTGCTTATCGTTGTTCTAGAGCGAATTGAACGTAAGAGATTTTGACATTTGCCATGATGTTCTTGTTATTCCTGGTTTTACGATTTCCATTGCTCAAACATGCCATTCATCTGTGTGTTAACATAAGCGATCATGTTAAATCCATCAGTGGACTTTTCATGGGGACTAAATCTTCGGAAAATTAGAGAACGAATGAAAACTCCACTGAGAGGATTTGCTCCACAAATGCTGTTCATTGCTTGCTTACTGTACTCACTGTTTAGCACATTATATGTCTTGGTTTTGAGTGTTTTCCATATGTTTTTGAAGAAGAGGTTGCCCTTTATGGCTAATCTGAGACTGCACTTTTGGCTTCTAGATGTAAAATGGGGTTTAGGGGTTATTGAAGTAGTCTGAGATTAGCATATAAGGGCAAAATCTATTCTGAATGTGCAATTATGTTGTTGGTTTTTGATTGATCGGTGGTTTGGGCTGTCTTGAGTGTTTCCCCTGTCCTCTAAAGCTGATTCCTCTTTCATGACTGTCTCCATGGCTGCCTTTCACAGCCACCAGTCTCTTAGCCGACATCTCTGGCATATACACAACACACAGACGAATTTATTCAATCACGACAATATGGAAACACTATTATTGATATAACCTGATGATATAACGATGATCTGATTAATCAGACCTTTCAAGCAACCAATTGTTGTAACAAAATGATCAAAACTGAAAAGTGTGTGTTGTCTATATGCTCCATTTTAGCATTTGCAGGGATTTGGTGTGTGGATGGATGTGTTGATGGATACAGCTATCCCTCAGTGTCCCACAATGCATTGCTGCATGTTCCCATCTCATTGCATTGCTTGTTATCTTAACTTTTTGCCTCCTTAACGTGCATCTAACCATTTGATGTTGGGTTTCGTAGCATAAAGCGAGTAATAGTCAAGCAAATATTCTGTTAAAATACGTTACGCTATTGCGTTATAAAAGGCTTGATGTACCGAACAGCCTTTTAGCTCACAACAAGGTGATGAATGGTTTTCCGCATGGCCTGTTAAACCCTGAAGATGTGAGCCATTTGTGTGTTATTAATCATAAGATAGATCTTTCGATTAAATCCTATATGTATAACTCCTATGCTGTATCTAGACTCCTTAGAGATGTACACATAATACCGTTTAACTATTTGAAGATTAATCCCTTCACATTTATCAACGTGAGGCCGGGCGCTTTTTAAATACCATGGAGAACGTTTCTGGACAGCAGCCATACCTGTATCTTGTTAATGAATAAGGCTTTTTTTCAAGGAATGATGTTATATATATATATATATATATATATATATATATATATATATATATATATATATATATATATATATATATATATATATATATATATATATTGTTTGGTGTTTTATTTGGCTAGATGGACTAACTCCTGCTCTCACAGGCACTAACTTTTACAAAAGCCATACATGCATAACTTTTTCCTGAGTTCATCAATGACTAACGTGTTTCTAATGTGTGCTTGAGCTTGGGATTGTTGTGTAGAATGTATGTATTGTGACTGGTTTCCTTACACTGTACAAGAAATGCCTACCAAAGCCACAAACCTCAGGAATTTAGAGGATTATTTAGAATTTTACACAAAGTGTTAGAGCTTTTTGGATGCCCATGAATTCAAATTTCATGCAAGGATGGGTAAAAATTAAGATTTCACAAAAATATTTATTTTTAAACTTTTGAACAATGCCCTGAAGCTTTGTCTCCATTAAGCTGCTGTCAGATCACAAAACTTTTGTTGTCGGTTACGAAAGTCACTTTGTCAGATTTTCTTGATAAAATCTCGACTTTGTCGTGTGTAACAAATGTGCCAGACTACACGTTGCTTCATGGTCAGTCATCCTGTGATGTCTACGACGATCAATTTTTCCCAAAGCAGTCACAAGTGTTGTTTATATAATATATTATTTATCTCAATTTCATTTTTTTTTTAAATCTTATTTCAACCTCAAAAAACACTGATGCTTGCTGACAGCTAATAACTGCATTATTCAAGTGCATTCATTACAACATGGATAGGATCAAACTTATGATTCCTTTTTAATTTTAAGATATTTTCTTTGAAATCTAAATGTAATGTATAATTTCCTGTTATGGGTTGCTTATAAAACACTTGAACTTGTCGCGATTGAGACGGAGAAGATAAAAGCATCAGAAGACATAATCTTTTAAATAATGACATATTAAAAAATTTGCAAATATATGACAGAGGTTTGTGAATACAACAATTAAAGTAAATCATTAATTAATTCCTTATTTTCCACAGAGCAAAATAAACCATCCACCCGCAGAGTTGAGTAGTGCAGGGGCACAATGAAAAATATAATTTGTATATTTTTCTTGGAAAAAGTATCTTTTTAAAGCAAATTTCATTTGCTATAATTTTATCGTAATTTTAATGCATTTTTTGTTGGTCAGTTATCTATAAATAAAAATAACGAATAACATTTGAGGTGATGCACTTCAAAACAAGTTTGCTTTATGCGCCAAAACATGAAATAAAATAATAATCTAGAATAAAAAAAATTTAAGTGAACTAATCAGTTTCAGTGAAGCCAACATTTTCCACTATTAATGACAAATTTGAATAAGCAGGACTGGCTTTTACAATGTATTTGCAGCACTGAACATGTTCCCAGATTACCTCAGAAGAACAAAATCTGTTGGAAGGCTGTGAGAACTCAGAAACTTGTTGTGAGAATGAAGATGTCTGCATATTTGTGCCAGTCTGTCAGATAAAATTGCTTAAAACACCTTAATATTTTAGAAAAGGTATTTAAAGTTTGCATAACCAATGATTGATCTTATCCACTCGTGACCCACCCAAAAGTAAATATGCAGCCTATCTTTTGATAACCTGACCAGCGCATTAACGGCAGCAGAAATGATGTCCTCCTATCGCACAGTCACCCACGTGACAGAACTCGTCATGAAGAATAAGAAAAAAATTAAGCATGCTAGACTTTCTGAGATGGTGTCATAACGCGTCACAGACATGGTATCGGTTGTCATGAATTATGCCACATTACTCAAGAAGAAACGACTGAATCTTCTGTAACGATGCCCATTTGTCGTTTTCGAATCCCCACGACACCCTACGTCAAGAAAATATTGCCGAAATCGTGTGATCTGACCAGGGATTTACTTTTTAGCAGACTTTGTTAAATGTAAATCAATAATAAAAAAAATCTTTCATTTTCACAGTTGGAAACTTTTATTTTAATTAAAAATACAAATAGTTCAAAAAGACACAAGTCTGTCTAAATATTAAACTGGGATTTTATGATTCAGAATTTAACTGAATGAGATTATCTTTATTGATGCCCAACCTTAATTTCAAGAAATGAATGTGGTCTGATATATTTATATTTAGCTCATCATATAGAAATGAGTCATTGCTCAGCAAGCATTTCTTTTTTACTAAAAGATGTCTAATAGATGTCTAAACATAGTCGTCTTGGCTAGAATAAGGCTAAATTTGGGCTGTCAGTGAAAATCTAATAGACGTCTAAGAATAGGCCAAAACTAGACTAGTCATAAAATAAACAGAAATGAATGAGCACACATATAAAGTCTATCTAATCTGTCTATTTAACCACTAGTCTAGTTTTGGGCTATTCTTAGACGTCTATTAGATTTTCACTGACAGCCCAAGTTTAGCCTTGTTGTACCCAAGCTGTCTACTTTTAGATGTCTATTAGACGTCTATTAAACACACAATTGTTTGCTGGGCATCTCTAATTGGACAGCAGTATTTGAGCTGATGATGATAGTGGCTTTGGTAGAGCATGTATTACCTTCAGATGAGCAGACAAAAAAAAATTAAAGAAATGTTAATGGTCAGCTATTTACAATTATTATTGGGGCAGCCGCGCCATAATGGTAGCAAGTTCGAGTTCAGGTACCAGCAGGGACTGTTGGTGGGAATATCCACCTCAATATTGAGCAAGGCACCGAACCCCCAATTCAAGGGCGTAGATTTGCTCTTGATATTGGCAGGGACGTATATTCCTAGAGCGCATGTATTAAACAACACAAATTCTGTTTTGTGCTTTTAAAAACATTATTAAAGCAATTAACGAAGCACGGCCAATGCTGCAAAAGTCAATTTACATGATTTTACTGTAATCTGGCTTTGAGGAGGTATGAATGTACAGAAATTCAGAGAGGTATGTGACTCATTTTACCGTTTTATTCCTTCATACATTAAATATGTCTATGGATATAACCCTTTGAGCACATTAGGTGACTAAGGGTTGGCAGAGCATTATTTTAAAGGCGATTAAACTATTGGTGGGACAGTTCAGTAATTGGTGGGGACATGTCCCCTCCGTCCATGCCAATTCTATGCACTTGAATTGGTTATACGGTCAAATTGAGTCACCTCTCTACATTTTTGTTAATTAATACCTCCTCAAAGCCAGATTACAGTTAGATCATGTAAATTGACATTTGCAGCATAGGTTGTGCTTCATTAATTGTTATTTGTATAATTAAGTTTTTTTAAAAGCATGTGCTGTTTAATACATGCGCTCTAGGGATGTACATCCCCACCAATATCGTTATATCGTGAATGAGTAAATGCCTAAACTGTAAATGATCCCCAATTGCTCTAACATCTCTCTAGTTTGAAGAACGCTGCTCATCTCTAGGACTTTCCCTAACATAGTCTGAATGTTTTGGGAATGTTAAATGCATGTTCAAATCTAAAACGATTGAACAGTTGGTCTTGATTTGGTTGACGGAGCCTTTGGCCTGGCCTTTAAATGAATGCATGCCCTGTTCTCAAGACTTACGGCATGGCCACAGACGAAAAGAATGAGAAAAGACAGGCAGAGCTAAATCTGATGTGTAGTTAACTGGAGATTGGTAGAGAATGGAGCTGAGAGCTTAACCCGCTAACTGATAATGGATTGATGTAATTGATTAACAGAATGATTTTTGCATCTTGGCGAGCGCTTTTGTTTGGCTTGTGCCCAATACCTTGACGGCTGTATCTATCTCCACAGGGGGATGGGATACACCAAATCCGCGAGGCCCTGAAGATCTTAGCCGAGAGGGTTTTAATCCTCGAGACTATGATCGGTATCCATGGTGAGTAGGAGGCCAGACAATAGGTTTAGGTCTGTTTTCAAAGGACTTAGAAGCAGGGGTCAGAGATTTGAGTGCATCTTTCACCACACGACACCTTTGGGAAGTGAGCGAGGAACAAAGTGTGGCGGAGGACAGGGGGGCTCCAAGTGCTCGACCTGCTATCCGTTGAGCCCACCCGCCACCATGCTTGTCAAAACTCTTGATCTTTGATAGGACTTTAATTTGAAGAAGTTCCAAGTCCTGCAGGCTGACTTAGAGCTGCTGGCTCGCAGGGTGCAGCTGCTGGAGGCGATCATCTGGCCAGGTAATGCCCGCCTCGTATCATCTACTGCCATCTCCTGGCCAGTTACAGGATCAGCAAACAGAAAAGACCAGGACCAGACTCCAGCAGTATTTCACAGTTGTTAAAACTCACCTTCAGGTCATCCAAGATGTAGATGAATTTCCAAGATGGTTTTAGCTGAAACTGTGGTCCTTGACTATTCATAAGGCTTGGCATCAGCTATCGGCACATATGTTTATGGATAAGGTTATACAGTTGAAGTCAGAATAATTAGCCCCCCTGAATTATTAGACCCTGTTTATTTTTTCCTCAATTTCCGTTCAACGAAGAAAATCTTATAGTTAAAATAATAATGTATATAACTGCAGGTTAACTATATTTATATTTATAATAACTTTAACTGTTAAACACTATTAGTTACTAGTAAATTAAAGTTATTAGTAACTAATAACCTTAACTTTTCCCAATTTGATTGTAATGCTATAATGTGCACCTTTTGTAAAGCTGCTTTGGAACAACAATCATTGTGAAAAGCGCTATACTTGAAACTTGAATTAAACTGAATAATGTTCAGATTCTTGAACAGAGCAATCAGCTTGCTTCAATAGACTTGAATATAACCTCAATGTACTGGTACCTGTTGACAACAAGAACCACATTTTCACTGGAAAAAAGTCACCTGCATCTTGGGTGACATGAGGACAAGTAAATAAAAAGCAAATGTTTTTGATGAGCTGTCCTACATTTAAGTAGATTTGCTTTGGAGTGCTACATAACCACTATGTATTTAGTAGATGACTCTGAAAAAAAAGTACATTTACTATAGATATAAATGTGCAACAACCTGGTTTCAAAGTTTCTCTAAAGAGTATAGTGTGATGATGGAGCCACGGTAAATCACCAGTTTGCAAATCAACCCCTAAATATCTGAAAACTACTTCTAACCACTTCTTCCTGTGAACGAAGACCCATCATTACCCACTAAACACAGTAAAAATACAGGGTTCCGGACTTAAAAATTACCAGGTTGAATTTGGTTCCTAAAAGGAGACATTTAGGAGGTGTATGACTTGATAAAGATTGTTATTAGTTATTCAGGACATTGAGTGCACATCCTAAACAATCTCCGAATATGTTTACATGAACACCAATAATCCAATTTTAATATGATTAAGGCAATACTCTGACTAAAGCCGCTTTTCCACTATCGTGCCAAACCGTTTTAGAAACACTTCGGTGCGGTTACGGTTGTTTCTCCACTGAGCCTGGAACGGCGCGGCACGATTACAAACCGTTCTCGGCCTGGAATTTTCGGCACGGTTAGACAACCTGCTGAACTGTGCTGACAGATTTTGTGTGTTGACATCACGGCTCTGTTGCCAAGCTACCACAGCTGGCTCAGCGACAGCACGCTAGTCATCAGGCATGGTCCAGGTCTAAACCGTACAGTTTGAAAAGGGTTTTAAAACCATAGAGCAGTCTCTGACAGATAAGTGAATAATTAATCACATTCTTACGAAGATTAATAAAGTCATTATTTCATTGACTTGATTACAAGTCTACCATGTAAACAGATATTTTGATTACCATAATCTAACTAAAGTAAACTAAACAGAAATCAAATTAAGACGTGTAGTATCCCAATTTTAGTTACATTATTGAAGTGCAGTACAGACATGTTAACACCTTAATCAAACTATTACCGTCATGTATTTAGCGACAGGATATTCCATACAAACAAGGTTTTTTTTTCCCATACGGCGTGCAATATAAAATTATTCCAGCAGTTCATTCTCGCATCTAATATCTCGTTTGTCATGGAGGGCATGCATGAAATGTTCCAGAATGAAAGTGAAAGTGCCAAACTGCAGTTAAAGTCAACAAATTGAAAATAAAACACCTGAAATTACATGAAACTCTGGAGGAAATATGGATAGCGTGTTGATGCAATGACATGAATCGAATTATGTGCTATAACATCTTAAACAGGATCATAAAAGAAACATAAAAAAAAAGCAGCTTATTTAAACACTTTAATCATATTATTGTCTTATTCAGATTAAGGAAAATTATTTGATTACTGATGTCCATGTTAACGTAGTCACTGATGTGATTAAAAACAGCATAAAGCATGTTTATAGAATATATAATACCAGGGTGTTTTCTAGTTGTATTTATTGTACTTTTGTTTCCAATTTGTTCCTGTTACTCTGGTGATCATGATTGTATTGGTGTCATACATTTCATTTATTTTTGTATAAGGAAGAAAAATTTCATACAAAGTGATTCAAGATTACAAATTGAGTGTATTCTGGCATTTTATATATTTGAATGATTTAATCATTTTTTTTTATTTAATCAGTTATATATATATATATTATTATTTTTTAAATATTTTAATTGCTAAACAATCAGTAGTAATTTGTAGATTTTTATATTATTTTATATTTTATTTTAGTTCTTAAGTTTCATTTAACAAAGTACACAACATTAATCAATTATGAGACTGTATTAAGGATTGTAAAAAGGATTGGTTCATTAAAATCATTTGTGATTTAGAAGTCATTACTTGCACAATTTAAGCACATGACTCAACTTCACAAGAATAAATAGCTTTTAAATTAATGCATTTATTTATTTTCATTTTAGTCATAGTTTCAAGCCATTGTTGCCACTTTTCTTTATGTAAAAATGACCACTTTGAACTCCATCCAAAATAATGGTGAACTTGTCAGATTATAGCCACTTTGCACAGTATTTAAAGTAACAGATTAGCACTTAGCAGCTTTAACTCTCTGTTCCTCCAACAGAAGCAGACCTCGGGTCAGGCGATGGCCTGTTTGGCACACCATCTCCAGACGTCTACCGGATTAAGAGGGCAAAAATGTCATCTTTCCGCATCAACTCTCCTTTAATCACTGCTGAGACCAAGGTTCGAGGGAAATAGTCTGACTATTCCGAAAAAAGCGAAGCCATCATTTCCATCTCGATTCCATCATCCGTAAAAAAATTCAACTGAACTGGTAACAAACACACAAGTCTCCTGAGACACACACACAAAAACACACACATTCTACAGATCCAGATGCTTTGGACTATAGTTAATCCCTCAGGGAAGACCAAATGGTGCTGTATAAATGAATCACCTCAAACGGGACTCCACCGGTTCCTAGCACCTCTGGCGTGGTTTGCCATCATGTTGTCATGACATAACCAAGCAGAATCTGTCTCAAAAGGAATTGTTCAACTTGTTTTAGATGAAAAAAGGAAACATGTTTTAGAGTAAGATATACAGAAACAGTATTGGTGCTTGTACAACTGTGGGCAAGAAGGGTACAAAATGCGATTGACATGTCAAACGTTTTAAGGAGAGGATCAAACAAATCCATATTCGTCTTTCCAGCTGCTGTTAGGAGCTCGTGGTAACTTCAACAAACGTACTGTATGAGGAAAAAAAATGCACATATCGATTCTGCTATTCAGCCAAACGCCACACTTTCCCCAATTTCGTTTGTTCTTTGGATTAAATGCACTATGTAGATAGAGAATCACCTTGTTTTTTTAAAGAGAAATGATGACTGAAGGACATAAACGTGTATAAACTTTTAATAGACACTTCAATTGTGATGGAAAAGGGTTTTTGGTTTCATCTCCCCTTTAAAACGGACTGAAACGATAATTAGATTTGAGAAATACTGAAATTGTTACAATATTTTTTTGTCAAAACATGCACATAACAGAATATAAACCACATAAGCAGTCATAAAAATCGTATGTGGATAAAAATAAAAAAAAGTAATCACATGGTTTAACTAATGTGATTTTAACATGTGATTGCGTACATGGTTTTTCTGTATAGGTGAGTGTGAATTTAAATGGTTCTTAGTCTTATGCTCTTTCAATTGTGTTAGCCAGAGCAGTTTCCCCTGTTCCACCAACAGAACATATTTTGGATGTCTCCATTATCTGAGCCCATTAACTTCAGATTTCGGAGTCTTTTCTTATGTTCTGATGAGTTAATTCAGGTGTGTTTGATTATGGAGAGGTTGAAATGTGTACTGTTGGAGTGCCTTCAGGAACAGGGTTGGGAAACACTAGGCTAGAGAACCATAAACCAGATCTGATCCGAGCACAAGGTGAAGTGGTGGGAAAAAGACTCGTATAACTTGAATTCTGTTTTCGTGTTGCATGCATGTCTTTCCATCAGAGTTACATGCACATGCATAGGACTGGTTTCCTTCTTCAATACCTTTCCATGTCTCTGTATTCCTATATAAATATTGTTGTATTGATTATTTATAGATGATTATTAGCAATTGATGTTTTCCTTATACTGTATACCAATTTATGTAACGTCACCTGTATTTTCTTTCCATTTCTAGCCTCTCTGTGTGAATTTGTCTTGCCAGTGTGCAGTCTTACCAGTTGGTGTTAAAAACAAAATAAACTGTTTCTTTTTTTTAAGACAATCCATATTTTCATCATTACTCAGTAATTGCTGGATGTTTAATTTGTTGTAAATGTTAGCAAAGAAACCACATGATTTTCTTCAAACTTCATCATGAAAGCTGCCAAACCATTGTATAGCTATAATAATTTTCCACACCACCCATAATCCACTGGAGCTTTCTGTTGCACACCACAAAGTCACAAAAAAAGAAGTAAATGCTTAATAACAGTTCAACTTGCCTAAGTAAAGCAATAGGGCAATGCTTCAATATGAAGCGATCTCCCTGAACTATGATGCTGACTTCTTCCCCTTCGATATGACCACAGTCTCTTCTCCGATCTGGTCATCGATAAGCAAAGAGATGGCTCCATCCAGCTGCCCTGTAGCTGCCAGAGCCACTACAGCTTTCTCTGTGGGAAAGCCCATCTTCTCCAGCTGCTGCAAACTGGAGGTGAAAAAGATTGATAAAAACCAAGCGCTCAACTTATGATTACTTATAATTGCGGTATGCACTAACCGTAATGAGGATACTGAGGACTTTGGTACTTCCACTTTGTCGGCTGTACCCTCAGGTGCGTCGTGGAGAGATGCTAATATTCCTGCTCTCAGCATCTGCTCCTCTAATAACTGTGAATCTGTTGCCAACGGAGATTCCTGGGGCCACTCTGACACAGACTGCTGCCATGTTGAATAATTCTCAGACTGGAATGCACTGCTAAATGGCTCCGGTCTATTGCACAACAACAGTAATTAAGCTTGTTAATTCTAGTTATTTGATGTGATCTGAGAAAACAATTTTTGGGTAATATTAGCAAAGAGATTGAACTGACCTTGTTGAGGTGTTGTTGTAAACTGGTAGCTGCGAACGAGAGGTGACTGGGATGTAGGCCCATTTTGGCAAGCAGGCACATGCACCCAGTCTCTCTATCTGCTCCAGCATTTCGATTAACTCATTATTGTCTGTAGCGTATATTAAGGGCATCACTTTATAATGTGGTTAAAAAGAGATATCATTTCATACCTTTAAATTAGTTTTAATTGAAGATCAGTTAGGCCTGCCACAGTTACTAATTAATCATCTGATCAGGTTTATTTGGTATGTTTGTAATAAGGTAAGATAACTGTACAATGTAAATGTAAAATGAGAAAAAAAACACTTTGTGTATCCCTCAAGACATTAGTTCTTCATTTACTTTACGATAACTTTTGTGATGCTAGACAACAAAACAAGTCAGAACTGTCAATTTTCAAATCTGAAAGGTGAATAAATAAGGTTTCCTTTGATGTACACTTTGTTAGCATTGAACAATATTCGGCCGAATCATAACCATATGAAGATATGGAATGTTAAGATTTAAAACAATCAAAATACTGATATTTAAAGCATTTAAAGTTGTCCAAATTAAGTTATCAGCAATGCATATTATATTGCTAAATTACCGGCAGCTAGCTCTCTGCAACTCGCACTGAAGCTAAGCAGGGCTACGCCCTGTTAGTACCTGGATGGGAGACCAAATGGGAAAGCTAGGTTGCTGTCGGAAGTGGTGTTAGTGAGACTAGAATCGGGCGATCAAACTGTGGTCTGCGTGAGTCCTTCTAACACCCTAGTATATTGATGGGGATGCTATAATGCTCGGTGAGCATGTTAAACCGAGGTCCTGGCTCTCTGTGGTCGTTAAAAATCCCAGGATATCCTTCAAAAAAAAGAGTAGGGTTTAGCGGGTGGATGCTGCACACTGGTGGTGAATAAGGAGATTCCCTCCAATGTGCAAAGCACTTTGAGAGTCCAAAAAAGCACTACATAAATTTAAGTAATTATTAATATTATTATTATTATAAATTTTAAAAAAAAGTTTTACCACATTTACGTTAGGATATTTACATAATATTTTCATGGAACGTGATCAGTGCTTAATCTTATAATCATTTTGGCATTTAAAAAATGCCCCCCAAAAATGATTTTAATATTTCACCCTCATTTCCTTTCAAAAATCTATTTTACCCTAGATAGAAAAACATTACACTCAATATCTTTTGTTAATAGGCTTTCATTTTGTTGGCAAAACTTTAAAAATTTAAGCATTATTTAAAAAGAATTGCCACAGTTCTGTCTTTTCTCAGGCTTGGCCTATGGACAAAATTCATTCATTCATTTTCTTCTCGGCTTCGTCCTTTTTTATTCTGGGGTTGCCACAGAGGAATGAACCGCCAACTTATCCAGCCAATTTTTTACGCAGCGGATACCCTTCCATCCGCAACCCATCACTGGGAAACATCCATACTCTCTCATTCACACACACACACTCGTACACTACAGCCAATTTCAGCTTACCCAATTCACCTGTACCACATGTCTTTGGACTTGTGGGGGAAATCAGAGCACCGGGAGGAAACCCACACAAACACGAGGAGAACATGCAAACTCCACACAGAAATGCCAACTGACCCAGCCGAGGCTTGAAACAATGACCTTCTTGTTGTGAGGCGACAGCACTACCTACTGCGCCACCACGTCGCCCATAGACAAAATACTCTCTTATAATATAAAATAATATAAAATTTGCTGGTTTCCAGTGTGAATCATAAAAAAACAAGAATAAAATTAAAAATATAAATATTAAATAGAACTTTTACTATTTTTAAAGCATGACAGGAAATATTGCAGGCAAGTTTAATGCCGTTAGGTAAAATAGAAAGAAAATTATGCATATAAAAACTGTAACATAATTGTATGATGAATTGAGAATTAATCATCAGCACAAAATGTATGATGGTGACAGGCCTATTTAATAATAATATATTTAAAAAGTGTAAACCAGTCTGAAATTAGTAAAATGATGATTAAATGAAATTAAAACAAAATATTTGTCAAAACTGCAGGAAAATAAACGAAATAGCTAGTATGGTGATCTTAAAATATTGTCTCAGACAAAAGGAGTCAAAAAGGCTGTGAACCATTGGTGTAGTAAAGGATACAGTTGAGTCCCAGGCAAATGGCATAGAAGTGCAGCAGGCCTGGAGCACTGGGAAGGAGGAAGAGGTCAAAAATCAACAAGAGCCAAGGTAAGAACCAGACAGGAACAAAGCGCAGGACTCTCCTCTGCTTGACCTGTCGACACTGAGCCGTGAGCAGGGCGAGGTGAATGGCTGCGTATCCAGAGACCCTGCTGGCTTCATCTCCAGTAACAAAAAGAAACAGGGCATAAATAGGAGGAAGGAGCAGAGCCGAGATGAAGGAGAGGGTGAGGAAGGTAAAAGTCCCCCATCTTCTCTCCTGACAGGGCCCAATCCAGAGCAGCAGGGAGATGTTGTGGAGAAATGAGGTCAGCTCTTCATTACTGAAGGCGTAGAAGATGAAATCTGCAATACACAAGAAAGTAAATAAGTTGATGACATTATTTTAAGTATAATATAATAGTACTTTGCTTACCATAAAATCCAGGAAATTCCCCACCTGGTCCTAAACTTAGACTGGCATGAATACCACAGAGCCAAGTCGACACAATTAATGATAGGATTAAAAATGTTCCACTACAACACCCTGGACGGTTTGATCCAGACCACATCCATGCCGGAAAGATATTATTAAGCATTGTAAACTGACAAACGCATACCAATGTTTACATGTATATACCTCAATATATGCTTATGTCAGATGTATCATAGGTAATGTTAACCCTATCCATGTTTTCATTTGCACTTCACTGCCAGACGCTAGCATCCTAGCAACGGATAACGACGAGTGTAATTACAACCAGCTGTACTTATGTCGTATTTATTTTATTAATTGTAAATTATTAAAGAGACCAAACAACGCCGATGTTACTTGACATCCCTTTTATTTTGACAGCGAGTAACTTCCTATAACAGGAGAGCGTATTCACTTTGGGGGGTTACGGATTTGTTTTGTGAACGTTAACATTGTGTATTCGGGAATCAACATGTTGATATAATACACTGAAAGGATTTGTAGTATTCAACAATTTATCGAATTAATTGTAAAATTTTAAGGTGAATAAAAGGTTAATATTTAGAAACATATTTCTGTCTGCCACCCTCTATAATCGTTGTCTTGTTGGTACGCTCCGTTTTGCTCTCAAGCATGCGTACTTATCGCGCATGCACCGTTGCGCCTCACACAGCATACTGTTCTCCAACGGAAAGATGGCGTCAGTCACGAGTGAGTTTTTAAATCGTTTTTCTTGTTTGAAATTCGAATCTTTAATTTGTTAGCAGCTGAAATTAAGCACTTATATTTAAGTAAATGTTAAGTTATATTGCGAATTTGAGAGAGTTTTGTTTAGATAACCGACGTTTTTCAAGCGTGCGGCCTTAAGTTTGTGTTTTTAGGTCAAGGTGTTTGTTTGAAGCTAACCGCTCCAAAACTCGACTCAGCTTGGTTTTTAAACTCCATGTTTTCAATAAAAACAACACTAGCTCACTTTAGAATCAAATAGTTTACTTTTGATGCGTTTTTCTCGTGTTTTTAATGTTTCACGCTCGGCTCGTTGTTTCGTAAATGGTAGCAGGCGTGGTTTAAAAACAGCGGGATTGAGTGCGCATGACGAACAAAATGTTTAGTTTTCTTTGTTTAGCGTTTTTGTATAAAGACATTTAAATTTAAATTCATGTAAGCATTTTTTTTTATATTATTACTCATTTTCGTCTGTAAATGTAAAGTTAACGAGTAAAACTTTAAAGTTTGCACTGTTTAATGTGTTAGCTGAACCCTAACGTAAGCGTGGTCACTCATTGTTCTGAACTCGTGTGTCCTGAAATAGTTTCAATGCTTTAATAGCCAAATCTGTCTTGTTGATGCAAGGTTTGTTCCAACCGAATGGCTGGAATTCAAAAGAGACTGCTCTTCTTTGTCTGTTGTTGTGTTTGCCCAAGTCCTGCATCGTTATTGGACCATAATAAACCCTGAATGTCCAGTCAGCAGTTTGCAGGTCGTCTAACTTTTGTAATGATTTATTTCCCCGTAGATTATAGCAGCTACAACCAAGCTGGAGCA